GATGGAGCTAAAGAATAGAGACTAGATGGAGCTAAAGAATAAAGTAGGGATTTATTAAGAGGCCTCAACAGATCTACCTTGGGCAGCACAACCCAAAATGGCCACACAATGGATGATTGCTCAGGACATCCCTCACTTTTATATATTCTGGTCCATTTGCATGTTTGAGTTAATTGTCCAATTAAAGCTTTAGCCCATGCAGTCCCATCCTTATTGTTTTCTCTCTTCAGTCCCCACTGTTTATGCTCTTGGGCCTGAGATCTGGATCTGCAGCCCTTGGTCCCCAGCTACAGAAGGAATTGTTCTGTCTCCCTGTTCTGTGAAGAGAACTCACCATCCCCTAATATGAAACCTAGACTTAGACACTAAAGCAGAACAGAATCTGAAAAATGTAAAAGCTAAAACTTGTGGAATCATTATCACTCCAGGACATGCTGAAGGAGATCTGGAAACAAAGGTGGCTAATGGACAACATTCTTCAGACACCTTATTCAGATGCAGGACTCAAATCCTTATTCAGATTCAACTAATTCACCTTATTCAGATCCATGGATTCCCAAGAAGCAGCCAGAACCCCCTCAAACCCCCATTCTTTCCTTCCTCCTCAAGTCACCCCATGCCAATTCAACCCCTCAACATCTATTTTCTGCTATGAGGAGCCTCCTTCAAAACTTCCCCTTAAAATTCAAGATGATGGCAGACTGAGCTCATTCCTTCCCAGAATTGAAAGTTTTCTAACAAGGGAACGCTGTTCTGGAACTGTGTGCTCTTAACAAGATTGATCAGATGGTCTAAGCAGATTTTAAACCCTGCTCAGCTGAAACAAACTCACAAGTTCCACATTCATTTCCATGCCCAAGTGTATCCATGTAAAAGGAAGGAAAAAAAAAAAACACCAACAGGCTGTGCCAAAAACGTTGAGAAGAAAATGCAAATGGTGATGCTTCCATTTGAAAAGAAGAAAAGTGTCCAAGACTGGTTTTTATTTTTTTAAAGACAGTCTCAGGAACTTATGAAGATCTGATCATTTATACAATCTGAGAATCAAAAACTTGGTACATGTGTGGAGCTGCAGCCCCTGAATCTGTGCAAGGGGACCTTTCCTTTGCCACTTAAGTGTGAAGAGCTCAGGCCTTTGAAGGTGATCACTGAAGCTTTATGAACCAGGAGTCCCTCCTGCAGCCTTCCTGATGGATTCCTCCACAGCAGCAAAAAAACCTGGCCCCTGCATGGCGCTGCTGTCATTTGAAGGCAGTTCTGTGGAGATTTTTGGAGTTCAGATGTAGAGATGGGAAGGTTCAGGTTCAAAAGGAGAGCAGCTGCTTTAGGGAGCTGCCATCCCATTGCTGGAAGCCAAGTCAGAGCTCCAAAATCAAGAGATGAACACCCTGACTGAGGTGAGCCACGGCAGAGGGCAAGTGCCACCTGTCTCAGTTCAAATGACCCCCAAGACTTGGGAGGAGGGTGAAGAGGAGCTCAAGAAGAGCCTCCCAAAGACTGAGAGGAACCAAAGAACCAGCCTGAGCACAGCCCTGTCACACTTGGGGTGATCAGGGAGGCTGAGCACCCACCAGTGGTGATGGACAAACCAATTCCTTCCTGCAAGGAATTTCAAAGTGTCATTGTGAAGCAGGCTGGATTAAATAAACCTCAGCCCCTGGTGCAACAGAGCAGCCTTGTACATGCTTGAGACACAACCAGATCCAAGGCAGCCACCAGGAGCATGTGGGATTGAGGGAATGACCACAAAAACACAAACACTCTGTGAGCCAGCCCTGTGTTCTGCTACAGCTCAAAAAGCTCTTGGTTTTTCCAAGAGTACCAAGGACAGCTACACTTGGAAGAAGTTGGGAAGAACTCACAGGAACCTGCACATTTCAGTCAAGTTCAGCAAGAATAAGATCTCTGCCAGAAGCTTCCAGGTAAGGAAAATGTCTCTGAGAATCCAAGTTAATGATAAGGACAGGTGCCAGGTAAGACAGGCAGCCCACCAACACTTCACCCATGCCATTGCCATGTTCAGTGACATCCAGCTGAGAGAACAGCCTTGGTCAGGCACTTGAAGAGAAATGGAGACCTGGGAGCCACCAGCTGCACCAGATCTGCCTGGATGTGCTATTTTTGGGGCCCAGCCCTTTTGTGAGCAATGGGATGTTCTGCACGGCACACTCCGTTCCCAGACCTTGGCAGAACAAAGCAAACAGCAAGAGCCTAAGAAAAAAATGGATCTAAGGATCCTCCAGCAACTCTGCCAGTCTCCTTTGGTCTGATCTCTAATGAGATGTAGAATGTGCACTTGTTTTATTTACAGCAAAACTCATTAACTTTTATCCTTGCTTTTTTTTTCCCTGCTCCTCTGCACCCCATTTCCAATTTTGCTCAGCTTTATCGTGACAAGAATTCCATCTTGGAAAGATTTCCCATGAAATCTAGGATATTTATCCCTAACAATAGGATGCAATTGCTAATTACAAGCCTAGCTGATAAAGCCTTCCAGTCACAACAGAAGATGAGACATTAAAAAGTCAGAAGAAAACAAAAGCAGTGTCTCATCCTAAAGATGGGAGAGGAGAGCAGCAGACTTGGTGGACATCTCATGGATTTCGTGTCTCTGTTCAGCAAACTCATGATAAAGACTTCATTTATCACCACAACCTCCAGTCAAGCCCAACACTCCTCAGGACAGTCTTCAAAGACAAAGTCTGCACATGGTGATCTCAGGGGTGGCAGAAATGTGGAGGAAATGAACATTAGTGACTGAACATGCCCAGGTCAGTGCCAGAGAAGTCCTTCAGACTATGAATGAATCCAGGATTATGGTTTTAAAGATTAAACCCCTAATGAGTGAACAGCTCCAGCAACCATTTTAACAAGAAAATTTGGGGATGTTCCATTAATCACCTTTCTGGTGTTCTTAGACAAGGACTCTTGGAACTCCATGCACTATTTGGAATATCCTGAGTGGAAGGGCCCCACAAGGATCATGGAGTCCAAGCCCTGGCCCTGCACAGACACCCCAACAATCCCACCCTGGGCATGCCTGGAAGCATTATCCAAGTGCTCCTGGAGCTCTGTCAGCCTCAGGCCTGTGCCCATTCCCAGCACCCTCTGGGGGAAGAACCGTTTCTGATCTCCAACCTCAATCTCCTCTGACACAACTCCAGCCATTTCCTGGGTCCTGTCCCAGGTCACAGCAAGCAGAGATTGGAGCTGCCCCTCAAGAAGAAGCCCACAAAAAAACCCTCAGATTATGATGAGGCAAAAGGTGATAACTACAAAATTTGTTCTCCATATAACCAGGAAATGTCAGGATCCTTCACACCAGAAAGTTTCCTGGAGCCCACCCTGCAGCACCCAACAGTCAATCAGGTCATCAGGAGAACCAAAAACCTGAATAAACCAGAACAGCTTTCGTTAAGGTATGACATTTTCTCAGTTTCTTATCTCTCTGCATCTTTGGCATACACAAAACTGAGAACAGAGATGTCTTTTCCAACCTACTCCCACAGGCGGTTCATTTGCCATCAAATCCAAACTTTCTTTCACCCCTCCAAGATTTCAGCTTTACATAAGGAAGTTGAGCTCACAACTTCTCCTCCAAACCAGCAGCTGTTTAGAGTTCCCTTTCCTACACTGTTTATCCAAGATACTGAACCCTCTCCTAAAAGAGAGGAGTTTCCACCTGTAGATAACTGAATTTCCAAGCTCCTCTGTGCTGGAGGAAGCAGAGCTTTGAGCAAAACACTGCCAGCTGCTTCTCACAGCAGAGGAGATGAGAAAGAACAAGTCCAAAATTTTAGAGGAAAGGTCTACAAAGGAAGCAGCCAATGAGTCCATTGGGAGAAACTCAACCCTCTGGAATAAAACACCAAAGCTCCAGCAGAAGAGGGAACAGCTCCATGGGAAGGTGCCATTTTCCTGGCCACATCCAGGGAATGCTGCTCCCATGGACACAGACACTTGGCTCTGCAGGCCCACAAGGGATCACATCATTCTTCTGCTGGCATTTGGATTTCAAAGAGAACACCAAGGCCTTTGATAGAGCCCTCACTGCCTGATCCTTCTGTGGAATGAGATGTCACAGATGTGAGGGAGGAATCCTTCCCCATGAGGGTGGCACAGGGTGCCCAGAGCAGCTGTGGCTGCCCCTGGATCCCTGGCAGTGCCCAAGTTCAGGCTGGACAGGGCTGGGAGCAGCCTGGGATGGTGGAAGGTGTCTCTGCCCAAGCAGGGGTGGAATGAGATGGGCTTTAAGAATCCTTTCCAACCCACCCCACTCTGGGATTCTATCAAGTTTTAACTACTTGATCATTGCCTTTGAAAACTGCAAAAGCAGCTGTTGAGGAGATGCACGAGGAAGGGGGGAGCTAAGGGGTCAAGCTTGAAAGACACCCACAAGTGCAGATCAATGCATCTCTGAAGAGATTCAAAAAAAGCTTTCCCTTGAAAACACTGAGAGGTGTAGCCTCATCAACATGCAG